TTACCACTGGTAATGATAAACATTAATAGTACTTTTGATGTCGAAAATTAACAAAAGATTACAGATAAATATCAAAATGAAAATGAGATATTTTAAAAATTCTCTGATGTACTTGGCTAGGAAAAGGTTGCTTTGGGATGAGTTCAGCTGAATTGTACAACACAGAGAACAAAAGTTTCCAACTCAATTATCTCAAGATGAATTTGTGTATGTATACAAGTCACATATGTCATAGAGAAAAATGTCCTTCTTGAAAAAATGGTGGCAAAAACAAATCTTTGTTGCTACTGTTGAGTGTGTGAGTACGCAAATCTTTGTGTGTACTCACACACACATACAGAAACACATTGCACAGATCTATAATGCTCTGAAAGAATTACCTTAAAATAATGGTAATTGGGATTTTAAAAAGTGAGAACACTAACATGGAAAAATATATTTATAGATCTTTACTAGATACTAGAGAAATTCTAGGGAAAGTTCAAAGTTCATGTCCATTGAACACGGACTAGTTATCTCTTAATTTCTGGCAAGAATAAACACTTTTAATTTATATATGTAAAAAATATATAACATACATATATATATACATATGCATTTAAAAGTTTATTCTTATCAGAGGTTAATATATATTATATATCACAATTATATTATTATATAGGTATACTACATATATGAATATGCATATATTATTATAAATACAGAGTTTATTTTTAAGAATGGGGAGGGTGTGACAGTTACCCTTGTGACTCCAAGTATTGTCTATAGACCATCAGCACCAGCATCAGCATCACCTGGGAGTTTGGTAGAAGTTCAGCAATGTCTCAGACCCACTGAAGCAGAATCTGCATTTTAACAAGATTCTCAGGTGGTTTGTATGCTATTTTTTTAAATAAGATTTTATTTATTTGTTTGAGAGAGAGAGAGAGAGCACGAGCAGGGGCAGTGGCAGGCAGAGGGAGAAGCAGACTCTCTGCGGAGCAGGGAGCCCAATGCGGGGCTTGATCCCAGGACCCTGGGATCATGACCTGATCCGAAGGCAGATACTTAATGGACTGAGCCACCCAGGTGCCCTGATTTGTATGCTTTTTAAATAATGAAAATTCAAGGATTCCTAGTCAAAATTATCAATTTTTTTTCTGTATTGTTTGCCAGAGGACAGTAGACCTGTCGATTCAAACCATGTTTTTACTTCCTTGATGTATAGAAACTACTTCTGATTGTTCTAAAATTTCTAATCACATTTCAAGGTCCCAATCAGATATCAAAACTATTCAATAGTCACTAAAATTTTTAAGGGGACAAGAAGGAAGTTTGTCCCTTTATTACACCAGGCATATACTCAAGAGAAAAACATAAACATTGTTCAATGTAAGACCATAGTAGTCACTTATTTTTATATATTTTAAATCTGAAATGGTAAGTCACCCTAATTTTGTATGATATATATATGAAAATTATATATATGTATATATATAAAACTGTGAAAGTCAATTATTATTTTAATAATGGATTAAACATTTCTTTTAAAAAAGGTTGGAAAAATCTCCCAGATACTTTATTGGCAATAACACCTTCATTTCTCATCTGCTCTTTTAAACTTCTTGTTTAAATCCTGCTTTAAATTCCAAAGGGATCCAAGACTGTTCCTCCTTGCCAAGTCAAGGGAGTGATTCCCCCTTCCTGAACTTAGCTCTTCAATTTAGTCTTCCAGAGAAAGTGGTGCTCTGCCTCCCTACTCCAACTCGTTCCTCCCCCAGGTGGCAGGAAGGAAGATAGCCCTTTTTACCAGCAAGAAACAAAGTTATTGCTATAAAGAAGTAAAAAGTTAAAGGGACAAAGGAAACAAAATCCTGGTTAATCACAACCTGGATAATTAGCCTTGACTAAGGATTCTGCTAAGGTAACTGAACTGTCTTAGTTACAAGGGTAACTTACCATAAACTCTTTGGTAGCTAAACATTTTCATCATATGGAATAAAAGATTATCTGGTACCTCAGGACTGTTGGAGATATGAATGTTTTCCATAATGCATTTAGTGTTGTTGCAAAGTTAATGTTATTGAACATATATATGCATTCATATATGTATACATTCATACACAGACATAAGCATATACATATATATTGAGAGAGGCACACATTTCCTAATAATTAACTTCGCAGAAACAAAGAAGCTTTGTAGGAAACCACCTAAACATCCCCAAATCTTCACCATTTAAAGTAAACAGTAAGGACATGTTATAGTTGACTTGAAAAATATCTTAACTGAAATGAGATTTTTTAAAAACAGGGTCAAAAGCAACCCTTTAGTATTTATAAGACCATTACAAACTGGGCACCTGGGTGGCTCAGTCGTTAAGCGTCTGCCTTCGGCTCAGGTCATGATCCCAGGGTCCTGGGATCGAGTCCCACATCAGGCTCCCTGCTCCGCAGGAAGCCTGCTTCTCCCTCTCCCACTCCCCCTGCTTGTGTTCCTGCTCTCACTATGTCTCTCTCTGTCAAATAAATAAATAAAATCTTTAAAAAAGACCATTACAAACTGATATAAGTATATAATGTGAAGTTTAAAATAATAAATGAAGGAAAAATCTGTATAATGAGTGCCCTCATCTTATTGCACTAAGATATTGCAATGTGCCCCCTGGGGACCGGCCTTGGTGCCAAAGCAGGGAAATGTTCAGCGAAGAAGAACATGTTAAAAACAAACTTCTTTTACCTAGAACCATGCCAATAATCACGCCACATGTAATTTTAAACAGGAAGCTTTGTCTTAATTGTAGAACTAAAACTTGATGACAGTGACATGTTCTAAATCATTTCCCTCAGTCCCCCCTCTCCGGGGGAGGGCGCGATCACAGGCAGCCTGGTGCACAGAAGCGGACAGCATAGGCTTGGGAAAACCCGGGTTCGGATCCTGGCTCTATCCTGGAGCTCTGTGGCCTCAGACAAATTCCTTAGCCTCTCTTCGCCTTAATTTTCTTACCTGTAAAAGTGTATTCTTGTGAATCCAGCAACAAAGCAGATAAAGGGGCCTGGCACACAACATATGGTGAACAACAGTCCACGTCATTATGACTGTAGTTCCTACTATTACAGATATGCAAATGGACCACCATTTCTACAAAGATAGTATTTATTGCTTTATAAGCTCCGTATGGATACTTCCCAGCTCATGTCAAAACATGAGCTCCTTGTGAGCAATTAGTCATTGCTCACAAGGAGATGCTGTTAAGTTTTATGTCATTAAAAACAAACAGACCATCATTTCCAATCTACCAACTCCATCAAATGTTCAAAAGACATTTTTTAAAGGCATCAAGTTGATTAGATTGGTCATATGGTGATATATATTAAAAATCCTTTCCCACTTCTGGAATATTTCAGTCCCTCTCCTACTTCCATAAGTAACCTAAGGGAGGAGAAGCAGATTCAAGTATAGGATTTATTCACACTTGTGCTACATATGAAGGGGCTTTGGGGAGATGGCATCAGCATGCAAGCTGCCAGGATGGTCCTGAGACCACCATGGGCATAACATTTGGGACAAACTGATAAGGTGAATTTATTACAAACGATTCCCTCACGGACCCTGAAGTACTGGTTTCACCACCATCTGAATGGGCTTAGTTGATGTCCCGTCCAGAAATTCTTCCACTGGTTGTATAGACGACCCTATAAATCCATGGCAAATGGAGGGAAGGTATCTGCATCCAAAACATCTGTCTGTACTAAGAGAAATGATGCTCAGACACAATGACTTTGCAATATACTTAAAATTCATTCTTCGGTGTCATTTCTTGACTAAATCTTTGCTCTCTGAGAACAGGCAATACAATTTTTATTGCATTTAAGTTGTTTTTTGGTGAAAAGAAGGAAAAGGAATTCAAAGTCAGCTTTTCATGAACAGCCACATGGTCATTCTGCTTGTGAACTTACATAATATAGCTAACATATATTACAGTCAGATACACATGTTATGCACTCACAAACTTAATCATTAAAAGAGGAGACCACCTGTTTCAAATGCACTTTGCACCACAGATGATATGAACCAGAAATATTTGGTCTACAATATTTAATTCTATTTGTCTCAATCAAGAAAAACTATTAATACATTCTTAGATATAGAGAGATAGGAAAGGTGATGTTTTTCATATTTTGTGATAGCTTTACATAAATTTATTTTTCAGAATACACTAAAATAAATGTAACCTACTTTTAATAGCTGTTATTAAATTTTTTCTCTTGCTTCGTGAAAACAATCACTGTGGAGTGGAGACTACAGTGGTGGATCTAATCAATCCTACTTCATATGCAAATCAAACAAATTTCATAATTCATTTTAGAGACACATTGAAAACCTATATTGAAAACTGACTCATTTGATTCTGGATTTATATGGCAACATTTGAAACTAGTGGTCTAGCTAACACAGGCAACCATGCAGAAAGTTACAACATTCATAGAAATACCCAAGTAATTCTTGTGAACAGTAATTGCTCAAAGTAAAGAAAGAACAAATAAGAATGGGTACATGGTTTCTGTGTTGGTAACTTATTACTGAGTTCATGTTAATAAAATCAGGTCTCTTCCAAACAGAATCATGTAAACTATTGGTGTAGGCTCGAAAGAGATTATATTCAGTTAGGTACATGCAGCGTTGGAAATCTACCTTGACATTAAAAAAAAAAAAAGTCTGGAAAAAGTCATTTCTCCTCCATTTTTCTCAATAGCTCAATTTTATTTTAAAGTCCAAGTAAAAACTCTGGGACCAGTTTACTTTTTCTAACATCATGGCCATATCACATACTTTCTTTCCCACCCACTACCAATCTTCCCAGTAAAATATAACACAAAAACCCTGCCTCCAAACAAAACAGAAAACAAAACCCCTAGCCCCCAAACAAAACAATAATCTTGAGCAAAGAACTCAATCATTTTTTTAAAGGTTGAAAACACTGGCAACATTATCTTCACTTCAGTCACTTTACTCATGTAAATGAATGCTTCACCGATGCTAAGTGCTCCTGAGGCTCAAGAGAGAATCCAATATAAAGAATTAAAGGACAGCATCTCAGCCATTTGGCTGGGCAATGGAAGTGCTTGGTAAATGCAGAATTGAGTGTGCAGGGTGTCCTCCTAAGGGGAACGCTGCTACACATCGCTGGGTGACCGTGCTCTCTGGGAGAGACTGGAGGGGATGCAGCCGCAGCAAATGAGACAGAGGGCTTTCTGGATCTCTTGGTTTCTGAAAGCATATATGACAGGGTTGATGATGGAGTTGTAGGTGGCGGGCAGGAGGGTGGCGTAGGTGTAGATGGAGGGGTAGGTGTAATCAGCTATCAAGGAATAGAGTGTGAAAGGCATCCAGCAGGCAGCAAAGGTACCCAGAATGATGGCCAGGGTGGAGACCCCCTTCCGGGTGGTCACATAGTGGGAGGTGGCCAGGAAGTGATGCTGCAGGGCTATCTGATGGGCGTGCCTCATCACAATCTTGCAGATCTGGATGTAGAGCTGAAGCATGAGCGCAAACATGAAGAGGAAGGAGACGGAGAGGATGGCCGCATTGTTCTTGGTGAGAGGTCTGACCACACTGCAGGTGGACTCGTCTCTGAGGCAGTTCCAGCCCATGATGGGCAGCAGTCCCAGGCAGATGGAGGTCCCCCAGAGCATGATGAGCATGACATAGGTGAACGTGACTGTCCTCTCCGAGTGGTATGTCAGAGCGTAATACAGGGAGAGGTAGCGGTCAACAGTGATAGCCAGCAAGCTGCAGACAGAGGCAGAGAAAGAGGCGACAATGAGTCCGATTGTGACCAGCTTGGTGGCTTCTGACTGAAGCAGGTAGGCAAAAACAAAATTGATGATGAGTCCGATGCCGGCCAGCAAGTCTGCAAGAGCCAGGCTGCCTATTAGCAGGAACATGGGTGCTCGCAGGCTGGGGTTATGGAAGATGATAAGGACCACAATGGCATTTTCACAGGAGATGAGGGTTCCTGAGGTACACAAGACAATGTCCCAAGGGTTGACAACGAGCTCAGGCTCTGGCTCTACAACAGGAACCTGGGAGGAGACGGCCGCCGAGACGTTCTCTGCAGCGCCAGCATCTAAATAATCCCGAGGCGGCCCGCTTAAATTGACCTTCAGGTCTTCATTCATTTTAACCCCCGTCCTCTTCAACGAAAAGACAGGCTTTTTAATGTTTAGACACAGCAGGGTGACAATCCAAGATCATGCAAAAAACACACAAACAGAAAGCCAGCCCCTACTCAGACACTACCATCAAATGCCACAAGCTTCATGAATTATAAAGTGTTATGGAATAAAACAAAAGGCGAAGTCTCCGTGGTTTCAAACCCACGACCACAAATGCCGTTTGGCGCTGGGGACAACACAGGATAGGACTTGAAAACACGAGCGTGAGTGAGGCAGGCACACACGGAACCGCGGCGGTCTGTTTGCTAAAGTGCTGGGAACGCACATCTGAAAATCACATCTTGCATGCTGGAAACGAACCACTGTTTGACATCTGGGCTGCCGCCGACAAAGCCACGCCGCAGCGACAAGTCGCGAGCCGGGGCGCCATCCTCGATGGAATATTTAAATCGCCTATTTCCATCGAACTCCGCCCCCCCAACAATCCCTCGCGCGCGTGCACACACACACACCCCCCCAGCCAGAACAAAGAGGGGTCCCAGACGTCCCCCGTGTGCACAGGGCAGTCGGGCCAGGGTCACAAAAGGCAGGTGTGTGCCATGGGGGTGTGGAGACAGACAGACAGACACACGCCCATGCACTGCCGCCGCTCCCCCCGGGCGGAGGACGCGAGGGGACAGACAGGGCGCTGGGACAGGCGGCCCGCGGGGGCGGGGGTCATCAAGGGGGTCACCTTGGCGCGCCCAGGCCGAGGGGGCTCCTCCGGTGCTTCCGAAGCGCGCGGGCTACTCGTGTCGCCTGTCTGCGCCGGGGCCCGCGGCGGCGAGGGGCGGCGGCCGCGCCCGGGAGTGGGCGGGAGGGCGCGGGGCGCGCGCTCGGCGCCAGGTGAGCTGCGGGCGGCAGGTGAGCGGCGGGCTCGGCATTTTTTTAAAGGT